AACTCCTGAGCTCAAACAATCCGCCTGCCTCGGCCTCCCAGAGTGCTAGGATTACAGGCGTGAGCCACCGCGCTCGGCCTATATCTACACTTCTAATAGCTGGAATTTTCCTGATCTCTCATCACCACCATCCACCTCCTCATTTTTCTTTCTTCTGGGGTATACTTTTTTTTTTTTTTTTAGAAATTAAAGAAATCAGATTGTTTCGTGAGTCTGGAATTACAGAAGAAGAAATTAGGTTGAGCCTGAAGGATAGTTAATAACTCTATTCTATTGAGTATCCTTGAATAGGTCACTTAACCCCCTGTAGGCCTCTGTCTTCTTTATCAAACAATAGTGTTAATAGTAAGAATTCCTAACATTTACTGAACATTTACTCTGTGCCAGGCATTTACTAAATATTCTACATGCATTTAATCCTTAGACCCTGTAAGGTAGATACTGTTTTTATGCCTATTTTACAGATGAGAATACTGAGAACAGGTAAAGTAACTTGTCAAAGTTCACGTAGTTGGCAAACCCTGGGGCCAGGATTTCAACCTGTGCTGTCGTTCACTATGATATACTCACTGTCTCATAGGAAGGTTGACATGAACAATTAGGCAGTATAAAAATAAAAATTAATAACAGCCAATATTACTGGACCTTATTATTAGGCAGGTACTAGGCTAAGAGTTTATCATGCATAGTCTTATTTAATTCTCATATATGTTAATGACTGTTTGCTTCATTCTGTAAGACAAGTTAAGGTTTTAAAAGGGTAATGGACCTTCTGAAAGTCACATAAGTTACTAGGCAGAACAACCTGGATTCTAGCTCCTGTCCATCTACCTTGAACACTTGTGTTTGTTTTTTTGTTTGTTTGTTTTTTGTTTCTTGAGATAGAGTCTTGCTCTGTCGCCTCAACTAGAGTGCAGTGGTGTCATCATAGCTCACTGTAACCTCAAACTCCTGGGCTCAAGTGATCTTCCTGCCTCAGGCTCCTGAGTAATTGGGACTACAGGCACATGCCACCATGCCCATCTAAGTTTTTCTATTTTTAGTAGAGACAGAGTCTCAGTCTTGCTCAGGCTGGTCTCAAACTCCTGAGCTCAAGAGATCCTCCCACCTTGGCCTCCCAAAGTGCTGAGATTATAGGTGTGAGCTACCACACCCAGCCAAGATGTTCTACCTTTTAAAAAAATTGTGGTAAAATATACATAACATAGAGTTTGCTATTGTAACCATTAAGTGTACTATTTAGTGGCATCAAGTATATTCACAGTGTCGTGTAAACCATCACCACTATTTGCAGAACTATTTTTATTATCCCAAACAGAAATACTACTTTTTTAACAAAGACTACAACCTCCCCCATGCACACATACTTCTATAATTATAAAAGTCATAGATGTTTATTAGAGAAAATTTACAAAATACAAGACATATAAAAATGGAAATTTAAATCTCCCAGGATCCCACCCTCAGCAACACTCCGGTAAAATTTTAAGTAATTTTTTCCAGCTCTGTGTGTGTGTGTATTTAATTAACTGTGCTGGTCTTTCCCATCAAGTTGTAACAATTTCTGTTACCTTATGTTTGGGTTCTAGGTTGTTTGAAAGTACCTTGTCAAAGAATTTTTTAGCATATAAGCTCCTTACCTTCAGAAAGCCAGTATGTATTTATTTCTGAGATGTACTTTCAATAATTAATTCATTTATTTATTCAAACATGTATTGAGTCTTTCTCTGTGCCAGGTATGTCCTGTGCTGGAAGAACAGGATAACAGATGAATGTTTCAAGGGGCTTGCTCTCAGGAAGCTCTCAGTTTAATTCCTGTACACAAATAAGTAATCCATTGTGTTGTGTACTACAGTAATGGATATGCAGTACACAGAACTAGTACTGACAAAAGAAGTGATCGAGTATGGTTGGGAGTGTAGCCAGAGTCATCTTTTGAAAATACAAATTCAATTATGACGTAAATATTTATAACATTATGAAATCACACTGTAAACAGTTTATAATCTTAATCATTCTTTTTTCACTTAATGTTATGAGTACTTTTCCATGTCCCATGATTTTAGTAATTCTTATCATTTTTAATGGCTGCAAAGTATATCTTGCCTTAATTTACTTAACCATTCTTCTATTTGTTGGATATGTAGGCTGTTTCCAGTTTTTCATTATTACAAATAATGCCACAATGAAATTTCGAACTTTTATGTGCATTTTAGATCATTTCTTCAGGATCTGGGCCTGAAGGTGCTTATTTCACCTTACTCTTGCCAGGATTACCAAGATTCTTTAATGTAAACTATTCTAATTTTATAGGTAAAAACTGGTATTTTACTGTTATTTAATATAAATTATTTCTGAAACGTCTTTATGTAGACAGCTTTAACCCACCACTCCCTTTAGTGGTAGAATTTTCTTGGCCGAAGTCTATAGATGTTCCATTTTGATTTTGTCAGTTTTATCTTTCCCCACTTAGACCGTCCTTCTTTTCCATAAGAATTCTGCCCACTGCCTGAAGTAGGTAGGACAAACTCTTTGGAGACACATTTGAAACTCAGATTAAGTGGGTATCTGAAGTCACACAGCAAGATGGTGGGACTGGAAATAATGTTTATTATTATTCTTTATTTATATAGCACTTTATAGTTCCCAAAGTACACTCAAATCTATCTTTTCATTTCCTTTGACTCTGACAATAACCTATTAGGTAGGTAGGATAAATGGGCCCATTTCAAAGGTAACAACTGAGAAATTATGTGGCTTGTACAGGGTCTCACATACCTTAATTAGAGAATTAAGAGCATGAGAATTAAGAGCTGCTGAGACAAGACTTTCAGATTACCAAGGAATTCTGAACCAGAGCCCTTCCTCATGCCCAGTCATAATCATACTGTTTCCTTTGTGATGAGACAGAAAGTAAAGCTCCCTCTGTGGTTTGCAATAAGATGACAGAGAGATGAAGTAACTTGCCCAAAGGCGCACAACTAATAAATGTAGAGTCTAATTTTGAACACTCAACCCAGATCTTTCTACTTTCTTGACTATGTGCCCAGAAACATGTTCTTACCAAGAAATTTTGTCTTCTGGACCCTTTCCGAGATACAACTCTTAGCCATTTGGAGATTCCAGATTCTGCTTCTGGGTAATTGGTAGGACAAGTAAATGGTATTCTTGGAGCAGCATACACCAGCCTTTCAAATACCTTCTTCCCATGGGCTGGAAGTTTTACTAAAGTAAAACTTCAGTTGCCTGTTTTCCTCAATTCTGTCTCCTCTCTGATATCTGCCTGCTTGGAAAAGCATTAATAGCTCTTATCAAACACAGGAGAACTGATCATTTTACTGTTTATTTAAAATTCTGAGTAATGTGGATTTTTTTCAGTGTTTGAGGGTCCATGTAACTTAAGGTTTTAAAAACATTCTTTATGGCTGGGTTGATAGCTCACCCCTATAATCCCACACTATGGGAGACCTAGGTGGGGGGCCAGGAGTTCGAGACCAGCCTGGGCAACACAGCAAGACCCTGTCTCTACAAAAAATAAAAAAATTAGCTGGGCGTGGTGACACGCACCAGTAGTCCCAGCTACGCAGGAGGCTGAAGCAGGGGGATCCTTGAGCCCAGGAGTTTGAGGCTGCAGCGAGCTATGAATGTGCCACTGCACTCCAACCTGGGCGACAGTGAGACCTGATCTCTAAAAAAAAAAAAAAGACAATGCTCTTTATAATAAATTCTAACAATAACAAGCCACATAAAATAAAAAGAAATAATCTTTCCTTCCTTCCTTCTTACCCAACCCACTGTTAATAGTATAATGTGTGTCTTCTTAGACACAGGTGTGGTTTGTGTGTTTCTGTATTTTTTACATTGTATATTTTCAGAAACTTGCCCTTTTTTTGTGTGTCACTAACATGAAGCTCAAAACTTGCCTTTTTGGCCGAGCACGGTGGCTCACGCCTGTAATCCTAGCACTCTGGGAGGCTGAGGCAGGCGGATTGTTTGAGCTCAGGAGTTTGAAACCAGCCTGAGCAAGAGCGAGACCCAGTCTCTACTAAAAATAGAAAGAAATTAATTGGACAACTAAAAATATATAGAAAAAATTAGCTGGGCATGGTAGTGCATGCCTGTAGTCCCAGCTACTTGGGAGGCTGAGGCAGAAGGATTGCTTGAGCCCAGGAGTTTGAGGTTGCTGTGAGCTAGGCTGACGCCATGGCACTCACTCCAGCCCGGGCAAAAGAGTGAGACTCTGTCTCAAAAAAAAAAAAACCAAAACAAAACTTGCCTTTTTAATTTAACATTAGACATTGGACATATATCCAAATCAGTGCATTTAGATTTATCTTTTAAAAAAAACCAAGCAGTTACATGGTATTTCATGAAATTGCTGGGTCCTAGGATATAGCATTTTTAAAATTGAGACAGAGTCTTGCTCTGTCACTCCAGCTAGAATGCAGTGGTGTCATCATAACTCACTACAACCTCAAACTCCTGGGCTCAAGTGATCTTCCTGCCTCAGCCTCCCAAGTAGCTGGGACTACAGGTGCACATCACCTTGCCTGGCTGATTTTTTCTATTTTTTGGTAGAGATAAGGTCTCGGTCTTGCTTAGGCTGGTCTCAAACTCCTGAGCTCAAGGGATCCTCCCGCCTCAGCCTCCCAGAGTGCTAGGATTACAGGTGTGAGCCACTGCGCCTAGCCAAAAACAAGATGTTTTAAGTGAAGGATAACACATATTCTAGTGGGTGCATCTGGTTTTAGGTCTGAGGCTAAATAAATGACTATTGGCAAATTATTCATCTTCTCTGAGCCTCAGTTTCCTTATTTATAATGAGGATAGAGATGTCTTACGCAGTTGTGAAGATTTAAAATCATTTGTTAATTTAGCAATTTTTTGTTGAGGGCCTTCTGTGTATCATATAGTACTGGCTAGTGTATTTGACGGTGTTTTATAAACTGGGAAGCCTTATGTGTGGAAGTTCACCACGAGGATACTACAGAAAGAGACATGTGCTTCTTTTTGTCTCTCCTGTTCACCTTAGCGATATCTCTGAGTCTCTGCTCGATAAGTGCCTCTATACCAACCACTCTCCTCATCCTGATATCTTGATACGGACATCTGGAGAAGTGCGACTGAGTGACTTCTTGCTCTGGCAGGTAGGTAGTTTCCATGTACCATTATGTTTGTGTCAGGCTGAAAATTCTCACTGTACCCACAGAATGGTTGAGAGTGGTTCATCCCCACTCCCAGCCTTTCTGTGACCAGAGAACTTGGGGGGAGAAACTACAATCTGGAAAAGTATCTCCAGGCTGTGCCCAGTAACATTTGCTATCCTTTCCCCACCTGTCCCTGACTTTGGGAACCTATGTGGTTCTTGCTCTTGAAAGTGGAATGTGTCCAACCTAGAAGGAAAGTCAAGGTTATCCAACCGTAGTGAAAACTTCACTTGTGCCCCTGTTCAAGGAATGGGACTTCTGCCTTGGTAATTTGCCAGGTACTCTAGCACCTCTGGGTTAGAACTTTGCCTTGCGGTTACTAGTGTCTCCCCTTCAGCATAAAGGGCCACATCTATGCAAGCATGGTCTATGAGGGATGTAAAATACCTTCAGACTCTCTCTCAGGGGTTTGCCATTGCCTGTCAGCTCAGTTACCCCAGCATAGGTGGTCCCCAAAAAGCTCATATCCAATTAAGTTTGTTTTTGCTTGAAAATCTCCATCCCCTATTAAGTTTGTCCCTGGATGGCACATGACTGGGGGATGTCCTTTTTCTAGGAGAGGTTGGAAGGAGAGACTCAGTATGGAGGTAACTCACATGATAAAGCTCCAGAAATTGCAATGGACCACAGTCTTTTTCTGAGACAGAGTCTCACTCTATCACCCCAGGTAGAATGCAGTGGTGTCACTGTAGGTCACTGCAATCTCAAACCCCTGGGCAGTCTTCCTGCCTCAGCCTCCCAAGTAGCTGAAACTACAGGTGCACACCATGATGCCTGGCTAATTTTTCTATTTTTAGTAGAGATGGGGTCTCACCCTTGCTCAGGCTGGTCTTGAACTCCTGAGCTCAAGCCATTCTCCCACCTTGGCCTCCCAGAGGGCTAGGATTACAGGTGAGCACCACCACGCCTGGCCAGACCACAGTCTTAAAAGTGAACTCACAGTTAGCTTACTGAAGGTATTTTCAGTCTTTGGCCGCATTGAAAGATGTATAATGTATCCTTGTTGGTTCTGTGGCCCACTCTGCTGCTCAGATCATGTTTGGGAAGTTTACTTCTAGGCCCTGAGTTTTAAAAGAGTACGTTGGTAAACTAGCGGACTTAACTGTAAGAGGCCAACCTAAGTAGCAAGGAATCTCATGTCTTACAAGCAAAGGATAGGGGTCTGGCAAAGGGAAGCAGGTAACGGTGTATTCTCTCAGAAAAAGTTATTGAGTGCCTTCTTTATGCCGGAAATACAGCAATGACCAAGTCAAATGATCCCTGCTATCTTGAAAATTGGGGTTTGTTGGTAAAGACAAACTCTGAACAAGTCATTACAACCTTGGGTACAAATAACAGGTATCTCTGATCTAGCCTTCAAATATTTGAAAGACTGTCACTTAGAAGAAGAAACAAATTTGTTCTAGGGAAAATACCTGGGAACTTCGTAGAAGTTGCAGGGAAGGTGACTTGGGTTTAGTGTAACAAGCTATCCAGCAACTAGAGTTATTCCCCATGAGGCACTGAATTCCTTACCACTGAAGATAATCAAGCAGTGGCAGTCAAAAATCTTCACTGGGCTCTGTGCTCTACTTTATGTACATTATCTCATTTCATTTTCATAGTACCCTAAAAATTAGGTATTCTTACTACTCAGTTTTACATTTGAGGAAACTGAGGCCCAAAGAGGTTAAATAACTTACCTCGGTTCAAATAGACGGTAAATGGTTAGAACCAGAATTCAAAGCCAGGCAGTCTTTCTCCAGAGCCCATGCTCTTAACAACTGTGCCATACTGCTGCTACTTAAAATAACAATGGCAGCTACCATTTTGTTCATTGCTGACTTTTATCAGGCAATATGTCTCCCAGATGACCTCTAAGGGCCAAGAGCCAATAACGTAATCCAGATGTTATTTCATAATCCTAAAATTGGCTCGTAGAAGAATCCTGGTGGAAATGTTGATCTAGTCTTGTTTTAATTCTGCTTTGCCACAGGCAGATGATCTAGCTGCCTCAATTGACCCCTCCCCCTATTAGTGAGTGAATCAGTCCCAGCTATAGCTCAGAGCACCTGTGCCATCTCATCTCTGGGCTTCTGGGTCCTGCTCAGCCTGCTCCTTCTTTGGAGAACTGACCAGTGATGCGGCCCAGCAACATGTTACTAAACCATACTCTCTTCCTTCCCTACCTTTCCCAGACGTCCCACTCTTGCCTGGTGTTCCAACCTGTTTTGTGGCCAGAATACACATTTTGGAACCTCTTCGAGGCCATTCTGCAGTTCCAGATGAACCATAGTGCACTCCAGGTAAGAGTTCAGGGCTGGCCTGACTGGGTGGGATGAAAGAAAAGGTTAGCACAGATTGACCACCTTACCATATACCAAGCATGTTGAGGATGATGATGATAGTAGCTACCACTTAGTAAATACCACTGAGTATTTACTGTGTGTCAGGCACTGCAAATATTTTACATGCACCATCTCATTTAATGCTCCCAAGAACCCAATGAAGAGGTCTTATTAGCCCCCTTATGCAAATGAGCACAAAGAAGAAAAATGATTTAGTCAAGGACACATAATAAGAGATAAGAGTGGGGCCGGGCGTGGTGGCTCACGCCTGTAATCCTAGCACTCTGGGAGGCCGAGGCAGGCGGATGGTTTGAGCTCAGGAGTTCGAAACCAGCCTGAGCAAGAGCGAGACCCCGTCTCTACTAAAAATAGAAAGAAATTAATTGGACAACTAAAAATATATAGAAAAAATTAGCCGGGCATGGTGGCGTATGCCTGTAGTCCCAGCTACCTGGGAGGCTGAGGCAGAAGGATTGCTTGAGCCCAGGAGTTTGAGGTTGCTGTGAGCTAGGCTGACGCCATGGCACTCTACCCTGGGCAACACAGTGAGACTCTGTCTCAAAAAAAAAAAAAAAAAAGAGATAAGAGTGGGATTCAAGCCAAATGTCTTTTATCTCTTAAAGACCCAGGAACAGTCTTCTCAGAGAGATTGGCCATTATTCCCTGAAAGTATTAGCCTAATAAAAGATTGTAGCAGTGGAGGTATACACAATCCCAAGCCCTTTCCAGAAGGGATTAAGAACAAAATAACATTGTGTTTCCGTTTTGTAAAACTGTTGTGCCAAGACTTGAAATTCTACTTTTAGTTTTGATCACCAAATCTTGAAACAGGTTTCATTAGCAGGCAGTCACCTGTGTTTGATTAGGACTCTTAATAATAACCGTAGTGTGGGGGATGGTGGCTAACATATTGAGTATCTACTATGGCACTTAGGTGATTTCATGTAAGTTTTCTTATTTAATCCAACAACCCAGCAGGTTTGGCATCCCCATTTTTCAGATTTGGAAACGGGTAGAAAGACTAAGGGACTGTTCTAAGGCCACAGAACTAGGAACCTGAATTTTAAAATCAGAGCTGGTATTGCTGCTTGAGTCTGGAGAGATAATGGCCAGGAAGAAATAATGATGTAAGTCAGGGCTTCTCAGTCTCCTTGGTGTTAGGGTCCCTTTAGAGAATCTAATGAAAGCCACAGACCATCTCTCTAGAAAAACTGCAGATCACTCAAACACGTGGGCTTTCTTGTAGAATTGCACTTATCACTGAAACACACAGAATACTTGCAGGGTGTTCACATAACCCCTGAAATCTGTGCATGAATCCCAAGTCCAGAACTCTTTATGTAAGTCAGTCAAGTCGCAAAGATTTGATCATGTGTTTGATCATTAAGTCTCAGAATATGAGGAAGTTTAGGACAAGTGAAACAAAAAGCAGCAAAGCCTCAATTATCCACTGTCAGTGAGGAATGAATGTCAGATTTTTCCACATGACCAAAGCTGTCTCTAAAAACTAAAACTGTTTTATACCCTTTTTTGATGCAAAACTTTCTGAAATGTATCCTATATATAATTCATTGACACCTACTATATTCCACAGCCTTGCTAATAATGATGATTAGAATAATCACGTTCTAATGGTGATGATAATGGTAACCATCATCTTTAAGCACTTCACTGTATAGCAATGCCCTTGAAGAGCAGGGCTGTTTGCTCTAAGCTAGATGATCCTAAAATACCTGGCTTTGGGATTTCTCGTATATTTTTCTGTGTCCTCCCTCTTTCACTTCCTACTGCTGTCAATGGCTAATTTTGACAGTATCCCTCCTTCTCTTCTCTTCCTATTTACTGCTTTAAATCAGCAATAGGCAAGGAAACCAGTTAGTCAAGCTCATTAGAAATATGTTTATAAAAAGAGAGTAAATTGGCTCTGTATGAAGCCCAGAGGAGCTTGGTGCATGAGTTTTTGTGTATGGATATTCTTATCTCTAATTTGGCTGCTCAGAAATGTTTTACAGTAATTTCATATTTCTCAGATATTTTGCACATAGTTGTCAGAGGAGTTAACTGAAGTTTCATTCATCCCAGAAATATTTATTGAATACCTAGTGTGCATCAGGCACTGTATTAGACACAGAAGAGTGAGCAGTTAGCCAACCAGGCAAGATCGCTGTCTCATGAAGCTTCTATTCTTACTTGAGACAGAAATAAACAAGTAAACCTATATATAATTTCTGATTGTAATAAGGTAATGAAGAATACACAGAGTGATGTGCTAGAAGGTTATGAAGAGAGTGCTGAGGTTAAATTTGGGACTGGGCATGGTAGTTCATGCCTGTAATCCTAGCACTTTGAGCGGCGGAGGTGGGAGGATTGCTTGAGGCAGCAGTTTGAGACCAGCCTGAGCGAGAGTGAGACCCAGACCCCATCTCTACAAAAACTAGAAAAATTAGCCATGCATGGTAGCATGTGCCTGTAGTCCCAGCTACTCATGAGGCTGAGGTGGGAGGATCTCTTGAGCCCAGGAGTTGGAGGTTACAGTTGGCTGTGATCGTGCCACTGCACTCTAGCCTGGGTGACACAGCAAGACCCTGTCTCAAAAAGAAAAAAGTTTGGGTCTTGGAAGAACAAAAATAGAGGCCAGTGAGCCTGAGGGAGAAGGCATGAGATGAGGCAGGAGTAGGAGTCAGGCTTCTGATCATTCCAGGCCTTCTGGACCTGGTAAAAAAGCTGAAGGACTTTAATGAGGGAATGACAGGATCTGATTTGCATTTTGCAAAAATCACTCAGGATTTTTAGAAGGCAGGAGCCAAAGCCAAGGGACAGAACTCCTGAAGTAGTTCAGATGAGAGAAGATGTGCCTCCAGGTAGGGTGGTGGCAGTAGGGAGGGGATGACTGAAGATGGGAGTAAAAACAAATGTGAAAACAGAAACAAATGAAACTTAACTATATCAAGGTGATGACATAACCCCCCAGAGGAAAGAACTAATTCCAGGTACCTGAACACAGTTCTCTGACTATTCATCTTGAGTAGAATCTCTTCTCAGGATAACTCAAACTAGAAAGCCAACTTAAACATTACCTAAGAGGTTTATTTTTAGTGGCAATGTTGATAATTTAATTCTGAAACTCTTTATGTTTCTTGTAAGATAAAGCAAATAAATACATAAATATTAACATTATTAGGAACAAAGACATATAAGCTGTGGCCTGGGCAATTGGGTGGGGGGTTCTGCTGTTTCCTGGGATGGGATGGGATGTGTTTGAGGATAACTATTAAGAAATTCTGTTTTGTATCTGTGAATTGTAATTGCAAACATTTATTGAGTTCTTATCAATGTCAGGCAGCCATTACGTAGATTCTATGAAGTGCTATAAGGTAGATAATACTATTATTGACCCCATGAGGAAACCAGAATTATAACAGATATTGACTACCTGAAGCCTTTTCCAACAGAGCCCCTTGGGGGTCCTGGCCAAGCTTTCTGTACCCATGAGCCATCAAAGCTCTGTTTCTAGAAATCTTACCACCTTTGCAGAAGCACTGAGAAAATCCAGACTAACAACATCCTCCTTAGTCTGTCCTCAGACCAAATTGATCTCTCCAGCTTTTTCTCACATCTTCCTTTTACATACCCTGTATTGTAGCCAAATGAGACTCTTCACAGTCCCTTAATCTCACACCTTCAGTTTCCTACTTCTGTTCTGTGCTCTCACTCCATCACCCAGATTCCCATTGTCAAAATCTGAGCTGTTCTGTCCCTAGGCCCAGACCAGTGTGTCCTCGTTCTCTCCAGGAAGCCAGGGCAGAGAGCAGGGGTGAGGCTCTGGACCTAGAGTAGCTTACTGGAGGAAGGCAGCTGGTGGATGCTAAGGGAAGCAGGGACTCACCTATAAGACCTTGTTATCTGAAGGGACCATGACAGTCTACAGATGGTCACCCAGCCAGTCTTAGAGGCTGGCAAAGGGAGATCTTGACTAGGATACAGTAGGACAGGTCAGCAAGGAGGCAGGGACAGATAGGAATCAGGCCAGGCAAGGATGGCAGTGCAGAGGAACTGATCCTTGGTTACAAGTTGCATGGATGGTAGGTCGTGAGAGGTCATTGACAGAGCTAAGTAAAAAGAGTTTGTCCATGTAATCTCCAAGGATGATATTAGAGAGGGAGAAGACACATGTTCCTACTAAGCTTCCTTCGATGGATTTGTCACAGTTTAAACCGGGCTGGATCAACCATTGTATTTCTAGTGCTCTGCAGGCAGTCACTCTGTTCTCTTCAGAAGTTAAAGCTTGAGTTAGTCTCAGAAACTCCTGACTTTGAATCATGGCAACGCCTACTTAGCTGGGTGACTGACTGTACAGTTACTCCACCCCTCAGAGTATCATTTTCCTCTTCTATAAAATGAGAGGAGTAACGATTATAATACCTACCTTGCAGGTTTGTGATAAGGATTCAGTAAGCTAACATATGTGAAGTGATGAGTGTGGTGCCTGGAACAGAGTTCATTTTCAGAGAATGGTGGCCCATGGTGTTACTATATGTGCGCCTCTGGGCCTTTCATCAGACTTCTGTCTCTGGAAAAGCACCCTGCTCATCCTGTCCCCAGTGTAGCTCCCCAAGCAGGGAGACTCTGGGGGTGCTTTGGAACATCATATCTCTGGTAGGAGGTGTTCTCTGTGCCTGAGGGCAGCCCTCAGAAATGCATTTCCATGCTACTCACCTGGGCATGCCGGCTTAGGGGAAGACTTTTCATTGGCTAATAAATGTTTTGAAGCCCAGGACCTGCAGCCTCTCTCCAGTGAAGTGATAGAGTACTTGAGGATTTAAGTACTGGAGGAGCTATTACATCTTGTTCCCTGATTTTACCAAGGAGAGAACAGGACCAGAGAGGCTCAATGCCCAGGAGGAGTTTAGATTAATAGGTAAGAGCTACATTTCTCAAAGTTAGCATCTTGGAGCCCTTGCACCAAGATTATATTAGATCTGTACAGATTGGTCATTATTCAAGTAAAGTATAATAGACATGTGGTCAGGAAGAGAGAAGTTGACCTTTAGGACTTCTGTTAGCTTGAATTTTCCAAGGATGAGTACCTGAGAACTTAGAACACCTCTGAGATTGGAAGGGTATATCTAGACCATGTAGGGGCTGGACAGACAGGTATCCAGATGCAGGTCACCAGCTTCTCCGCTCCATCCCTAGAAAGTACAGCTTACACATATGCATAAGATATATTTCCCATTGTCCTCTCATTAAGCCATCTTAGTGGAGAAGCCAAGGGAACTTCAACCAGCTGTGTGACTGAGGCCAAGTGCCTCCCATCTTGGCCTCAGTGTCCTTGTCTATAAAATGAGGAGGCTGGAGCAGATGGCCTTTACGAGCTCTCCCAACTCTGTCATCCTAACAATGAACCACTGATTCCTGGCAAATAGGAGCCCACCTTTGCCTGGGCCACAGCCTCTATTGCTGGCACTCAGTCTGGGGCCGCCATTTGGACAAATCCTGTACCTCTCAAAGTGTCTTTAACCAGCTCCGTGTTTCCTCCCTCTGTGGCTGGGTGCCCCCCATCCTTTCCATCCTGCCAGAACTTGGCCTACTTAGCCCTGGCCACAGCAGTGATAATAGAAGACCAGCCCACAGTTAACAGTCAGGCACTAGGCTGGGCATTCATTATCTCATTTTCCTGAAAGGACCCAGTGAGGTGGGTACAATTAACCCCGTTTTGCAGATTAAGAAGTAGACTTAGAGTCCTTTGGACAAGAATTTCTCAAACCCCAGTATTCCACGTGGACTCACTCTGGCCTGAGCAACCTCTTCAGTTTTGTGCCTCTTTGCCCATTATTCCCAATCCATATGCCCTTCCTCTGTCCAAATCCTCCCCATTGGTCAAAAGCCAGCTCAAATTCTGTCCATGAGGTCTCACTGCTCCTTGACCATCAACCACAATTGCTTTCTCCTCTGAGCTTGCCCAGCCCTTCCTCTTGCTTCCCTGATGACCCTCACCACATCCTATGTTGTATTCTTGTACTTTGTGTCCATGACTGTGTCTTAATCAGCCTGTAAGCACCTGGATTGCTGGGACTGTGTCCTGTGCATCTCCATACCCCCAACAAAGTCCTGTACATAGGACCCAGGGTTCCTTCTAACCAAGGCCAGGAAGAAGCCTTTCCAGCAAGATGGAGAGCCTTAGCAGCAACTGCTCAAGCCCGTAGCCTTCATAGCTACATGTGTGACTCATCATAATAGCGGAAGAGAAGTACCCTTGAATGCCTGTGATCATTCAAGAGCCTAGAGGGGGGATATTCCAGAATTCTCATTTGTCATCCTTATTAATGCAATAAACCTTTATTGCTGAGAGAGCTTAGCAAATCACTTCCCTGCTCTGAACCTCCGTGTCTGTCTCCCACAGAAAGGACCTCCCTCACAGCTCCACTGTGAGGGTCAAATGAGACGAGATGAAGTGCTTGTGCACATGCAAGATATTCTTTACACGATGAAGACAGCAGTCAAGGTGCTTACAGGCTGATTAGGACAAAGACGTACACGAGTTACCATAATATAAGGTAGAATGTGGGTAAAGGTCATGGAAACAGTTTCTCACACATGGAATAGGTTTGGTAGGGGCAGCTCTGGCACAAAGGCCCTGGCGGGAACAGAGAGCATCAGCAAGGCACAGCAGGCCCTGGTTCTGCTCCAAAGGGATCTTCCCCTCTCCTATGTCAGGAGCATCCTCCCTCCCCTCCTGGCATTACGTGGTCAGTCAACTGAGTGTTTCACATGTGCAGGGCACCCCAAGTGCCAGAGAGGAAAAAACATAGTCTCTGCCCTCAAGGAGTTTATAGTTTGTCTGGAGACACACACAGGTATGAGAAGTGCTACCAGGGAGTATGATCACCACCAGGTGTCAGGGCTGGTTCCAGGATCCCTGGAGGCTCTACCAAGACTTCAAGGGCTTATTTTCTAACAGAAAAAGTGGACTATGGACACTGACGCCTGTTCTACTAGGCAGAATGCAATAAGTGGCTTAAGAGAGTTGAAATTGCTTCTCAGAATGTTCATAGGAGGGTCATTTGCTGGAAGAATCAGGCTGGCCTCCATACAGGAGGCAAGTCTAGAGCTCATCCCTGAAAAATAACTTAAGGAGTTGGGAGGGCGGTACCCTCAGAGACCAAAGGAAGTGACCCGATAGGTATTCCCCAGACAGGAATAGGACTTTCCTTGCAGCAGAGAATAGACAATAACAACTTTAAAATTGCTGTTTCTGAGAGCCTGCTAACATGCTAGAGAGGATTTTGCATATATTATCTCTAATCCTTAAAATCACTCTTCAAGGTAGGCACAACCCCCACTTTACAGATGAAGAAATGAGGTTAGGAGAGGATTTGCCCAAAGTCACAGAGCTAGTTGGTGTGGGGATCAGAAGTCAGACCCATATTTGCCTTCTTCACTTCCAAGTGCAAACCTGCACAAGATTTAAGAAATACAGATGTTTCCACACAAAACAAGCCAAGATGGACCCAGAACTGCCACTGCCCTGCCTGTACAACATGGGTGCCACCCACCGCACACCTACTCCCAAGCCTTTCCAAATCTGGTACACAAGCGCCACTGTTCCACTTCACTTGGCCCACCCTGTGCCCCACCTCCTACCTCCTCCATCCCAGTTCCACCCACACCTAAAAATGATTTCCACACCCCAATCCCCATTTTTCTCTAGCAGAAGGCCCGAGACATGTATGCAGAGGAGCGGAAGTGGCAGCAGCTGGAGAGGGACCAGGCGGCAGTGACAGAGCAGCTGCTGCAAGAGGGGCTCCAGGCCAGTGGGGACGCCCAACTCCGACGGACACGCTTGCACAAACTCTCAGCCAGACGGGAAGAGCGAGTCCAAGGCTTCCTGCAGGCCTTGGAACTCAAGAGAGCTGACTGGCTGGCACGTCTGGGCACTGCATCAGCCTGAGGGAAGCTGGCCACCTGCCACTTTGCCCTGCCCTCTGCTCCAAGGCCCCACTCCCCTTTCTTTTCTTGGTGAAAGGCACCTCCCTCCTGATAATGAATTGTGTTCCCTTTGCTTGTCAGGGGAGTCCCCCCACCCCCAACCAGGTCTGCTGGCCATGGATACCTTTGGGTTGCCTGGGACAGTGGCCCCTGGGGAGGATTGAGGGTGAGATCTCCCACAAGTACACTAAACCCAGCTCTGGTCATCAGTTTGGAAAGCAGGGGATACCAACTCATCAACTGCCTGTGCTCCTAGATGCACTTTCTCTTTCCACCAGCACATCCTTCAACACACAATTTCAGGGAAGAGGGCTCCCCAAAACCATAGCCCTTTACCCATCCATCTTAGCCTTCCACTCAACTTTCACAAAAGATTGGGCTCTACCTTGGATCTGCTGGTAAATAACTAATAGGCAGCCAGTTATTTGGGCAAGGAAGAAACAGGAGGGAGAGACAGAAAGAAAATTTGCCCATCTGCTGCTCCTCCCCTTGGCTCTCCACCTGGGATTTGCTATTGAATCTCTACCCCCTCCCACCATGCAGTACTGATTGCTCACTGAAAGGCTCGGCGCCCCCAGTGGTTCGTGAAAGCCAGGCGGGTGATTACAATCCAATTACCTATTGTCGACTCAGCCCACACAAGCTTTTCTCCTCTTGCGGGGCATAGGACCAGGCTCCATTCCCAAGTGAGACTGGCCCCCTCCATGGTACAGGGTAACAGAAGGACCTGTAGGCCCTGGTGACTCTAATCCAGCACAAGCCTTCCCTGTAACACGTCAGGGTTGAGCAGAACCAAGCACTTCTTCAACTGACTCTGCCTCCTGCCTTCAACCATCTCCAACTCTGATTCCCACCTCCAGTCTTCAAGGTTTCTCTCAGCTTTTTGACCTGGCTCCCTCAGTAGGCTCCGAGACGATTTGTTCTCAGCATGGCAAAGCTTGTTCCAGGCCCTCTCTGCTTGTGAGGGTCAAGGCTGTGTCCTTTCCCTTACCTCCCTGTCAGGCCTTGCTGCAGAGCTGCTGAGAGGATTAGTGCCTTTGAAGAGCTGTCTGCCTGAGCAACTCAGCTTCAGGTGCCCCACAGCAGCAAGTACCAGCCTAACACCAACCAGACGCTGCTGCCTTCAGTCTTCCCATTTTACTTTCCGGAAGCTGTTTCCCCAGCATCTCCCTCTAGGGGAGGGGTGGAATCTTGCAAGCAATGTTAAGAGCCTACTTTTTAGACCCTTAACTTTCCTATACCCCAGATCCCCCTCCCTTTTCTGTGCCTGGATACCTCGTGTTAGAGACCCCTTAGCCATCATCCCTGCTTCCAGAATCAAGTATAAATGCCAGACACTGCGATTGAGAAGCCAATCAGTGCACCCTTTGGCAAACCCCTCCTGCACACCTGGTGCTCCCCACTACCAATCCCTGGCACAGGGTTCCTGGAGAGCAGGTGCTGTACATTTTCCAGCTTTACAATGGGGCTCTTGACAGCCTTAATTAGGGAGGCATGAATTATGCGGCTGTAATGCAGAGCCCTACAATTAAGGCGGGAATGAGGGCTGGAGGCAGCAAATGGAATCTGCCCTGTGAGTGTGGCTATTGAATCCTTTCTCCTTTCTGTGTCTGACTTTCCCTAATATGATTGAGGTGCAGTAGAGGTGATTATTGAGGCTGGTATCTTTGGCCTGAGGTCCTGTATTCTGGGAAAGGTGCACAGGGTGGAGTAGAGAAGAGCTGCCCCAGGAGGCGCTGTAAGAGTGGAAAGCAGAGGCAGAGAGGCCATTGTCATCCAGAAGCAGGGGTTGCAAAATATTAGGTTGACTTGAACTCGTTGTGGTTGCTTTGTACCAGTATAATTTGTACAAACCAGCTTCAACCCTTCCCTTAACAAACCAGGTGGGATCCATGTAAGTGTCTTCCCACCTGTAAGCCAAACCCCCATTTGAGGGCATTTATGCTATTGTGTTCTCCTGGGTCTCAAATAGAATTTTTAAGATTCTTAGATGTAAAACTTGTTTGCTAACTGCCACGGAAGAACGCCTTGTTTGCTGCTGCAGTTGCCTGCCCTCCCTCAGGTGCGCTTGGCTAGCGCCAGGACCCCTGGCTTTGGGCTGGAGGGCACTGGAAGAGCCCTTTTGCCATCACAACACCTGTTTCCTAATCCCCGGGCGCTTTCCTCCACCCTCGTTTTCCTCGCGCAAGTGAAAGGCAGCCAGCTTGACAGTGCGGAAGGAGGGATTTCGCCAGCTGTGTCTGCAGCGCCCAGGCTAGGTGGCTACATCGGGTGGGGGCAGCTGGGCTAGATGTCTCTGAGACGGCTAGAGCGTAGCGGGGAATGAGCGCCGGTATGCCTTCTTGGAGGCCGCTCTACATCATTCTGTAGAGGGTCCTGAAGTCTGGGGGTACAGGGACTTAAGAGAGCCATCCGACAGGCGTTGGGCAGAGGGGCTTCCATAGTATTTGGGGTGGCGGCTGCGCCATGGGTGCTGAAAGGACAGCTCCTACCTGCCCCACAGCACCCGAAAGGCACCTCTGCGAGGGAAGTCTCCCCCTCGAACCCCTGCCCCACCTCGAGTGGGCCGCCTTCCAGGTGAGGTGCACGAAAGGTTTCCCCAGAGTGTCAGCTCGGAAGGATGCACGTCCGGGTGCGCCAAGCTGGCTTCCCCGCTCTTTTCCCACTTCGGTGTCAGCCTGGGCCCTGGGAACCGCAGCCTGTGCCTCAAGGCGTGCGCTTTCTCCCGCTTCCAGTGGAGCAGGGCGGTGTGGCCAGGCCTCGCAAACCCCTCTTCTGGGGCCCCCGGAGGGAGCCGGAAGGAGAGCCGCTGAGATGCGCCCGGAGTGTCGCATGGCTTGAAGAAGTGGGTAGCTCGGTTGCATAAGGTGGAAGGAACTTGGTAGTTTGCAAAAGCTAGGTCTTGGCGGGAGCCGGAAGCCAGAGCCCGCCGACTTGCGCACCCCTCATTTATTGCCTTCGATGCGCGCCTCCCCCACTGCGCCCCCACCCCCTCCGCGCACCGCCGTCTCGCGCGCCCTCCCCCCCACACCCCCCTCCTCACTCCCTCCAGAGGAGGTGAGTTTAAACCCCGCCCACGTGACCCCAGCTGGGCCAATGAGCGGCGGCGGGAGGTGAAATCCGGTTCTAACCGGTCCGGGGCTCCCAGCGCTATAAAAACTTTATAAACCCCCCGGAGCCCGAGCAGTGTGAAGAAGAGGAGGCGAGAACGACCCCCGGACCGACCCAAGCCCACGCGCCGCTGCATCCCCGCGTCCAGCGCCTACGTCCCGCCGCTGTCGCCACCATGCCCAAGAGAAAGGTACGTGGCGCGAGGGCCCCAGGCGCTGGGCCGCCGCCACTACCGCTGCTGCTGCCGCCGCCGCCGCCTCGACTCATGGACACGAGAATCGGCGCCGGGCTGAAGCAAGCGCAGCCGCTAGGCGCGGGGGCTCCAGGCGGTGTCGGGCTGCCTCAGGCTAATCCTGCGCGGCTCGGCTGCCCGCGGGCGCCAGAGGCCATATTGGAGGAGCGGCGGCCGCGGCGGGAGGAGCCATGTTGGCGGCTGTTTATCCCGCTCCCCTCGGGCTCGACGCGCCCACCCCGTGCCCCCTCCCCCATCGCCAGGCCCCCTTCCCTCCCCTCCCTGCGGGCGGGCAATTCAAACCCGAAAGGGCGGGAAGGCGGCACTCGGGGTTGGCGGGCGGGGGAACGCGCTGCCGCCAAAAAACCGCCGCCGTGAGGAGGCGGGGCCGCTTCCCCGCCGGGCGGGTCTTTGCCTTGTGTGGCCCCGCCCCTGCCCGCCCACGTTCCCCGCGCACGAGAGGCGCGCCGCCGCCCACGAGTTTCGCCGGCTGCGCGCGCCTTCCCGCTCCCGCCCTCGACAGCTGCCATGGCAACGGCGCTCGGCTCCGCCTCCGGAGGGGTTTGCACCATCTGCAGCTGTTGCTCCTGCCTGGCACGGTGGCGCGGGCGCTGGCCGCCCTCTCCGGCCTCGCTCCGGCTTAGCCGGGCCGCCGGGGTTCTCGACACCCGGTCTCCCGTGCGCGTACTGGGCTGAAACATATGAGTAAGGCTTTACAGCTTCCTGCGCACTCCGGTTGTTTGCATCGGGGCTGGGCATGCTGAAAACTGTTCATTCGTACATGCCCTAGAAAGTTGTGTGGACGACTCCCTTAACTTTCTTTTCATTGGGATTCTGTTAAGCTGAGGGAACTCTAACTACCTCAAAAGCTGCAGTCTTTTGTTTTTTATAGGCTGAAGGGGATGCTAAAGGGGATAAAGCCAAGGCAAAGGACGAAGTAAGTCTTATTTATTCTCTTTAAGGGTCATACACACCTTGGACTAGTAAAGACCACAGGACTCATTCGGTGGGAATTAACCATAACCCTAGTTCTGATTTTTACCTAAATAAGCTCTCTTCACTTACTGTAGTCCAGAGCAAATTGACACCACGATTTTTATTTTTGTTTTGTTCAAGTGATTTCTTTTGTCCTAGTTCTGACTTTCTCATTATTTTTAACAGCCACAGAGAAGATCCGCGAGGTTGTCTGCTAAACCTGCTCCTCCAAAGCCAGAGCCCAGGCCTAAAAAGCCCCCTGCAAAGAAAGGAGAGAAGGTACCCAAAGGGAAAAGGGAAAAGCTGACGCTGGCAAGGAGGGGAATAACCCTGCAGAAAACGGAGATGCCAAAACAGACCAGGTACGGCTAATTGTTTCTCTTTGTGTTAAGTCTGTCCAGTCAGTTGCTAATCTCAAAGACTTTATTGCCCTTATATCTACATCATTCCAAAAGTACCCTGTGGTCCAGAGTTTGCTTATGGTTTTCCTGTTAACTTAAATCTTGGATTCTTGAAGTCTCTGCCATCCCAAAAGGGCACTGCTAGGAGTAACCACAGATCTTCTAACCCTGGCATGCCCCCCCTTCCCCAATTTTACAGTAGGGCCAGGAGGGGAGGTGACTTCACAGAGTTACCTAGTAATTTCATTCTCAAAAGAAATGCTGAGTCTCAGTGTCTAAGTACCTGAAACCTGAACTTTGGCCTGGGAGCAAAATGATGGCTATAGGTGGGATGTGGACAAAGGTAGTTTCAAAATCTACATGTTGCATTAATTTGTCTCTTTTTCTTCTAGGCACAGAAAGCTGAAGGTGCTGGAGATGCCAAGTGAAGTGTGTGCGTTTTTGATAACTGTGTACTTCTGGTGACTGTACAGTTTGAAATACTA